TGGGCCCACTGGTAAACTTCATCTCCGGGGGTCTTCTGGAGTCGACCGATGGCCATCAAAACTTGGTTGACGAAACCTCTAGCCTGTCCAGCGTTCTCCGGAGGGGATGGTAACACGAGATCCTTGAGATCCTTGACGCGAACAACGGACTCCTCATGTGCGGCGTGATCTACGGCGGTCATGCCTACACTGGGATCGGCAGCTTGAGACGGGTCTGCATTGGGGAACTGGCCAAAGCCTCCCCCGCCTCCCCCACCACCATTCATGGTGAGGTATGGGCAATCCGTGTCTTCATGGCTGCCGCCGCAAACTCGACATTGTGGGGTATCATCATCTCCATCAGAGTCTGATGATGTGTCGGAGCTTGCTGCCGATGGCGCTTGTGGGGATGACGAGTACAACCCTCCCAACATTGTGATTGGTACTGGCGGAACATGAGTGCCGTTGCCAGCTTTTGGCGGAGGCGGCGCCCCTGCAAGGGGCATGGGAGGCGCTGGAGGTGGTGCGGCCGGAGGCGGAGGTGGCGGAGCCACTTGATTAGCAACCAATTGGGAAAGCTGCTGAACCATTTCCGCTAAAGCCGTCACTTGCACTCTCACATCGGCTTGATCCCTTGTACCGTCTCTACCCAACCCGCTAGTCCTTGACGCGCCGGGGGCTGCGTCTCCAACGGAGGGCGCTGCTCCTAGCACTGCCGGATGGCCTGCGAGATGTTGACTTGTTGCAGCCCCACCAGGGTCCCTTGAATCAGCTGGGGCATCGTGACCAAGTCCTGTACTTTGAACAGAACCACACGGAGGGTCGGGGATAGTACTTGTAAAAGCATTCCCTTGCGACGATGCGGCAACACCGGAGGCATCTTGTGAATCTGAAACCTGAGGTGCTCCAACCGGCTGATGGGTTCCTGGGGGAACTGTGCCCTGACTTGAGGCTTTAGCCGCGCTTGTTTCCGTAGCTGTTTCGGCTATTGATGCGGCTTTTGGCGGGGACTCTTGAATCGGAACAGGGGTCGCACGAGCTTGTTGGGTGAGGTGCGCAACAACACGTTCGAGATCACCAAGTCGTTGATGCATCACAGAATTTTCCTGGGACAATCCACGAATGGTATGCTCTTGACTGGCAATGGTTTGTTCTCTTTGTGAGATTGCCTGTTGAGCCTCTTGAACAATGCGTTGAACCTCTTGCTGAGCGTCCTGTTGAGTGGCATTAACAACCTGTCGTGCGTTCTCGACATGGCCAATGGCTTCCTGTCGTGTCTGCTCGATTAGTTGCCTAGCCTGAGCCTCACTTTGTTGTGCTGTTTGTACAGCCTGCTGTGCTTGCGAAGCTAGCTGAGCGGCCTGAACCCTAACGTCTGATACTTCTCTTACAGCCCTTTCCCTGATCCATCCGGCCTCTTGTCTCGCCTGGTCGGCGGCCTGCTGTTGGTGCAAGGCGTGATTGGCTGCCTGAGCAGCGAGGTCGGATGCTCGATGAGCTTGCTGCACCGCAGCTCCAGCTATAAATGCCGCAGCGGGTACGTTAGTCATCGGGTCAGGTAATTGCGATCCCTGTGAAGGAAACTGAATGGCTGGGGAAGCTTCGGATGATGTCGGTTCTGACACGATCGGACCACTCGGGGGTGATGATGGTCGTGTTTGGGCTGCTCGTTGAGGTGTGGATGTGCGAACTGTGGACATAACTGCAGGAACCATGGCTAGGTCAGGGTCATCCGGTTCAGAATCCCTATTTGGGGTTGACCTTGAACGGGGTTCTGATGGCGGTGACAAGCCCGTTGAAGCCATGACACAGCAATGCAACTTTTGCACTCACACGAAGCTAGCTCCACGCGCTTTGAGCAGCGTGTCAAAAGGTGCTACGAGGAGATATCCCTGGATTGGCAGCTGGTTGCGAAACGCTCAAGTGAGCCACTCAAGAAAATACGCCCTGCTGCTTTGCACCTGATGAATTCTGTATTTGTAATTGTACTTGTAGATTGATTGATCCGCACTGCCGCACTATGGTGCTTTATCGAGGGATGTTGCCAAGCTGTATTGAGAATTTGTCTGCAAATCGAATGCCTGTAGCTGCAAAGATGCTGTACCGCGCAAAGCGACGGTTTTAACGGCTTGCAATAAAGGCTATCGAAGTACCCGGTTGGCGGGCAACTGAGATGCAGATCGGTGGAGCTCCTCGAGGTACTGCGATGGATGCAGGCCCCTTGCCGCCGGAATGAACTGTCTGTTCCGGGACTCGATAAACTCACCAAGGTTCTCAAGTGCGTTGGCAAATCCGCTCGGCCCGAAATGCGGGAAGTTGCGGAACGCCGCGATGCCTGTCTTTTGAGCTTCACGGACAATCGATGCTGTATCGTCAATAAGGGCGTGAACGCCCAGCCCTTGAAGGGCGTCTGCTTTGCCTCCCCTACCCAACCTTTCGTGTACGATTTTTATCGCAGAGAAAGTGAGTCCAGATGTCGCCCGCGCGTGCTCCAGGGCGACCTGGAACTCGCGGCGGCGAAACTCGCTTGCAGCCCTGCCCACGAAGGATAGCACTATAAAATTTATAGGTGCGTAGTCGGCTGCAAATTGAACGAGATGTCGGATCACCTCCGGGTTGAGGTGGGGTCCCTGCTGCCCAACGTCAAGAACTCCGTGCCAGTCAAGAGCAACAACAAGCTCCTTGGGCGGCACAGGCCTTCCAGGCGGAGGTGGTGGCGGCGGTGGCGCAGGCGGTGCCCTTCTTGGTGGCAATCGAAAGCGTGAGCCAGCCTCAGAAGTTGCAGCGCTAGCAGCAGCTGCTTTAACGACCTGCGGCGGTGGCGGCTTAACGATGTACCCGAATTGTGGCGGGTTTGAGCTCGATTTGCTTCTGGGTTCGGCCTTGTTCAAACCTCGCGGAGGCGCCTTGTACCCGAATGCACTCTGAGTCCGAATAGGAGATCTTGCACGCGGCGGTGATTTCCTCGGAATATCTGCTTTTGCCGGTGCCGAAGAAGCTGCCCGGGGGATATCCTGGGGCAATGGAGGCTTGCTGCCAAAAATGACCTTTGGGGCGGCCTTTGGTGGCGGCGGTTGAATTGCTCCAATTCTCCGGCTATGCAAAGCGATGGGCTCAGTGTGAGTCGGTTCCTCGTACACGCGCCGAGGCACTAGGCTGCCCTGCCCGTTCTGATGGATTCCGCGTCCTGCGGAGGTTCCTCTTCCGAGCTGTAGGCGTCGAGGCGGTAGTGCTCCGCTGGCGCTGGGCGTCGATCAGGAGATCGTGATCGCGAGCTCGTGGATGATCTTCTTGGGGGATCCCTCCACGTCTCGTCCGCGAGCGAATACGGATCAGCCTGACGGAGTTGTCCGGACGTCCGTTGTGCTCGCCGATGAGATGTCGCCTCACGTGGCTGTGAAGCCTCCCGAACAAGTACCCAGGTGCCGTGCTCGTCAAACCGCGTCACAGGGTATATGCTATTCTGTGGAGCCAAAACGATGGGCCGTGTGGCAAGGGAAGTCCTGGATGGCCTGCCCTCCCGCGCAAGCGCGGGTTCAACACTGTGTGCCCGTTGTTCCACAGGGGTAGCAGCAGCTGGCCCTCGTCTCGGAGTTGATGATGGAGACCTCGACCTTCTGGGCGATGGGGACCTCGATCTTTGTGTTGACCGTTCCCTGCTGCTCTCCCGCCGCGTTTCCGCAGCTTTAGCGTACACCCCGCGAAGTGTCGACTTGGCGGCTTGTCTTTCCTCTGCAGATGGCCGGATGCGAGGCAAAGGAGTGCGCGAATCTTGCAGCCAGGAGGAAGCTGAAGGAGGCGTCGGAGGGCGTAGCCAGTCCGCTGCACTGCTCGCTGCTTCCGCCGCGCCTGAGGCTGCGGCTTGATCCTGAGATGGCACACCTTGCGGCAAGACCACACCTGTTTTTCAACCGATGCGAGACGCTGCTGATAAGCGTTGTCCGCGGCCTGGATCACGTCAAAGGCCTCTTGGTCAAAATTCCACAGGTGCCAACTATCCAATGACTCACGCCAGGAAAAGAGCGCCTCGACCTGTTGCTTCGAGGCGTCCGCAAACCTGATCCACCGGAATCGTCTGTCCTGCCGCTTGTACTCGTCGACGACGATCTGTTGCAGAGTATTGAATAAACGGGCACGCGGCCCTTTCCCACCGCGAGTGCCGCGGTGAGGGCCGGCTTCCATGTGCGACCAACAGGTCGCAGTCATGGAAGGGTTTGTTTACCCGAAAAGCGTTACGGCTGATAACCACTCAAAGGAGAGGGAAACACAGTTTTGTCAACAACGGGGGAACCCGGGACCTTAAAAGGAACGAACCCCTCCGTGACTGCGACCTCTCCCTTAACCTTGGGGTTAGCGCGTGCAACGCGCTGTTTTCAGCACTTGAGCCAAAGCAATGATTGGGTCATGCTCAGGCATTGACTTGAATGTACAACATGCAACTGACTACATGAGAACCTACCTCATGTACCTCTGGGCCATAAATGTCATCGTGATAATTGACTGTTTCTCGTGTTATTCCCCACGGCCAGGGGGATCTTTTTGTCGCAACACAAACAGTAATTGACTTGCCCGAAAAGAAGCGATTCCTGGGCTCGAGTCTTCCTTGGTATTAAAAGCTGGAAACCTCCCTGGAGTTCCCAAAGACAGTCCCCTTTTCGGTGGTTTTGAAGGGAATCCAAAAGGACAACCACCCAGTTTTAGGGGAGCGCTTGGGTGTGTCTTTCTTTGAGGGTTGCCTTTTTTGTGGTTTGAGGGAAACCAAGAGGAAAGCCGAAATCCATGTTGGGGGCTCCCTCCAACAAAGGATAAGCCTCACTTCCTGAGTGGACTGGCCCAAAACAGTCACCGAACTCATTGCTTACCACCTGAAAAATGGTCTTCCTAACAAGTGACTAAGTCAATGAACTCAGGGAGTGAGAACATCACAGGACACTATAGGGATTCCCCTTCAAGTGGCCTGCTTTTTTTGGGGGGGCATCCCACCCGACGGAATTTCCGCGACGAAACCCGCCACTTTCCGCCTCGAGGCGCCAGGGCCCTGAATCCCACAGCAAGCGCTGGGTCGTCACCTCCAGCCTCGCCAGCTTCTCGCCCACCTGGCGCGGTCGGTTTGTTCCGTGGATTTCCCATGGGAAAAAAACACGGGGAACCTTGAGTTGTTGTTTTGATTCATTATTTTATTTTATTTACTTTTTTTTGGGGGGGGGGGGATTTTCAATGGAACCCAAGAAAAGAAAAGCAAGAAATGGAAACGGCTTCCTAATTATAGAGCTCCTATTTTTCCCTTGGCTGACCAGAGTTTCTAGAGGAACCTGCCTTTGCACTGGGCCAAGGAGCGATGCTTAACACCATCAAACAGGCAAGAATGGATACCGGGTCCCAGCGAATGTTGTGAAGGGGTCAAGTGAATGAGGATAGGTGGACAGAGTCAACCTCGCCTGACGACTACTTGCAAGGGCCATGGGAAGCGGTCACCAGTTATAGGCTGCAATGGCTCCTCTGCATATCCATCACTTGGCAGCCAAATTGGGAAAGCAGGGTCAAAGACAGCTCAGCCACGGTCCATACAAAGGTTGCCTCAATCAAATGTAGTGACCCCAAGTGTGGGGGAGTGGAGGAGGGTGCTCCTGAAACTTGCCAGTCCAACATTGAGTGGACCTGTCGCAGCACTGTTTAAACGAAAAACACATGTCCGGCCCGTACAGCGAAACTTGCACATTTCCCCATGTCCGCAAATTGCGTGGCTGGTAAGGATGCCTCTTCCATTTGCAGGCAAGCTTGTGTTTGCTCTCCCCACAAAAGTCCTGAACAAACCCAAGTACATGAACTCCTGCGCAAGTTGTCAGTTCTTTACCGACCAAAACTGAAAAGAACACCTTGCGAAAGCAGCTGTGATCATGGGCGAAGTCGAACCCCCAAGTGACATTGCTAGTTGGCCCATCGCGAAATCTTGCGGCTCCTCGACTGGGAACCGGCTTACGAACATGCCAAGCGAGAATGGGATGAATTGTATGGCGAACAGGCCGGAAAGTGCCTCCTTCTTGGTCAAGCTTACGAATATGTTGCATGACGACGCACACCATCCCATGCATGATCACGCACCTACTAAACATGTAGTTCCAGCAAAATTTCAAACTGCACACCAAGTGGGTATGTTTCACATTGTGGGAACCTTGGTACCCTCCCGCCAACCAACATGGAACCTGATGCAGAAACCAGGCAAGGTTTCAATGTTGGTGGTGGCAGGCGGAACCGATAAAGATTCTCCAAACATGCCCTCAAATTGAAAACCACAAACACATCAATCACTTGAGCACATTTCACTGCTTGCCTGGTCCGAGTGTAAGCAAATTCGCGACACATCCCCCGAATACGTGCGCAAGCCAAGGTACTGGTGCTCCTGGCAGGTGCAGGCAGCACCTAACGAAACCGACGAACGTACACCTCTGCTGCTTTGACCATGGTGCGTGTTTTCTGAGAACCACCCATTCAGCTGTGGCTAAAAAACTGGTACCCAAAATGCGCAACTTTGGTAATTAGATGGAAACAAACTAAAATCTGCATAACCCTATCTGCCACAACTGTTTGCTCTTTTTATTTGGAATCCCGATTCTGTGGACACGTCCTGTTTCTTCCTTGCCATAGAAATCCTGTCTCCGCTCGTGATCTTCAGGTTGTTTTTTTCCCAAGCTGAGAATTTGATCAAAAGCGAAAGGATACCCTTCCGTCCACGAACATGGCACCTGACGGCGGGATCCTGGAAAATCATGTTCCACGAAACAACCAAAAACCAAACCAAACATACCAAACAAATTAGCAAAGACACAAACAAGCAACGCAAACCAAACAAACAAAACAAAGCGTGCAACAAACCAACCAAAGAACCAAACCAACCACACAAGCCAAATACACATAGACAACAAACCCAACAAAACACAACAAAACAGAAAGAACAAACAATTACAAAGAAAAGAACACGCAACAGCACAAAGCAAACGACACTGACCAAACCCACCAAAAAGAACGAGCCAGACAAACCAAACGAAAAAACAATGTCAAGAAAGCAACAAACAACACACAAACACCGAACAAAAACAGCAAAAACAAGGCCAAAAAGCAATCCAAACGCAAACGCGCCACCGGTCTCCGACCCACGTCCGTTCCAAAGGCAGCAGGGCGGCGTCTTTGCCGAGAAGACGCAGCGAAAGGTCTCGGCGGGCGGCGGGTTCAGCTGCACCTTTGTGGTGCCATGGGTGCAGTTGCCTTTCCCAAAGCAAAAGGTACAACTCACTTGGCCAGTGAGTTGTAAACCAGCCAATTTCTTCTGTACACTTTTTGGGCCAGAAAACAATTTGGAGGGAGAGCCACGAAGGAAAAAGTGTAAAGTGTGTCCACTGGCTGGGGGAGACAAAATGGAGGGGCAGGGAAAGGTTCGGCTAATTACTATGGGAAATGAAAAGTCTGATGATACCAAGTCACATTGTCTCCCTACTGCTTTGACAATCAAAAGCAAAGTGGGATTCCCGAAAGCCCAATTTTGCACCGGGAGTGTATGCTGGCCTGTGGATTCATGCGGCAAATAGACATGGTTGTTTGAGGCAAGGATTTTGTGCAGTGGAATCGGACACCAAAGTCCAGCAACTGTGGTTCTGCAGCTTCCAATTCAAAACAAGAAGTCATTCAAAACAAGAAGCCATGAATTGCTCCAGCAAGCTTTGTTCAAACGTGAATCGACATACGATCGCAAGAGATAGTTGAAGTGTAGCTTGTGGTGTCCTCCCTCTCATTCCTTTCACGGATGCGTCTCCGAACAAACTGCGACCGTTCGCAAATAAACGGGCGATCAACCCTTCGAGTGCCGTATTCTTCACATTAGAAGACTCCGTTAGAC